ACTTGCCTCTGCCTCCTCTGAGTGCTGGGATTAAACCAGCTTTAACTTCATTATCATGAAAATTGTATTTTCAAGAAAAAATTTCTTGGAAAGTTATTCTTAGCTATTTTATTTTGGTATGGACACCATAGGTAATCTTATAGAATACATAGACTTGCTCTTCCTTTATGTGTGCATATTAATAACTTTCAATAATTTTACTTTCAAGTTGAGAAATGTGAACAGTATGAAGCTCATTCTTCAGTCATCTATTCCATTCAAAATTAAAAACTACTGCTATAAAAGATAGACATTATTCTTTCCCGATAGTTGATATTGATAGAAAGAATTTGACAGTAATAAAAGGATAGAGAGAAAGAGAAAAATTAAGCAACGCTAATACCTTTGACACCCTCTTCTTTCACTGACAACATTTTAATCAACTCTTAATTCACATGGCCCAAGGAGAATTTAAATATGAAAATTAATATTTCTTGAATGACTGTGTACTTCAATTTCAGATACTCAGTTGACCATTATAGGAGAGAGAGAGAGGGAGAGAGAGAGAGAGAGAGAACACATAGGTACATAAATATATTTATGAAGCTTTGAAGAATATTCTGAACATTAGTCCTTTCTCACCTTGTTCTGACTAGGAGAGAGCTATGAGTAGCTTATAAATGTTAATTTAGCTGTGAATTTTACCAGTTAGAATCAATAGGGAACCAGAGCACTTTTGAAACTAAGGGCGTGAGCAATGAAGATAGATGACTTGCCTTACAAAGTTTAAAATATTACAAGTTCAAACCCAACCTAACTGAAATACATATGGAGAAAGTGGGAAAATCAGTGAGCTTTGAAGCAATCAGGCATTCTGGTGAGAAAAACAGATAGTTCGTAATGAAACATGTCCATCATGAGAAATATATAATGTTCTCAATGCACTGATAAGTCCACTGAGGTTTACTATATAATACATGATGGTTAGTCATGATGGAAAACTGTGCCAGCCATCATTATTAATTTATCTATCCATTAATTCATTGACTCAATACTTATTAAGTCATTTGTTGCTCCTACATGCCAGACATGATATGAAAGCAGTGAGGAGAAATCATACAGATTATTATGTCTAATACCCACAAAAATATCTATGAGAACTCTTTGCAATATTAAAAGACATTTGATTATATAGTTAAGTTCTTAACAGATAAGATCATCAGAAATGTATTGTTTGCTGGCTGCTTGGCAGCTCAAATTTATTAATGGCATTGATGCTATACTACTACTTGATTCGTGAGATAGTGTTAAAGACAATCAAATTTAAAAGAAACTCATATAGATTAAGGATTATGGATAAACTATCATTAATTTCTTTTTAGAACCATAATTATATTATGACACTCTCCAAGGTCTTTTATTTTTCAATTTCATGTCTTAGAAAGATTCTTTGATTTCACATCTAGCTTCCAGAAACACAACTGTTTGATACCATTGAAGTTGAGGCCTGAAATACATTTCCTTCCCAGACACAGGGTGATTCTGTGTTTTGTTTCTGATGGAAGTGTAGAGGCTTCTTTTCAGCCTCCCTTGAAATTTAATAAATTTCACAACAAAGTACTAAACATTAGATATCTTAGTCGCCTACTTACTTTATCAGTCAAAAGGGCACTGACTAATCTGAAAGTTAGGTCTACGTTTCTCATCTGTAATATCGTCAAAAGTTTTTATATTATTTAAATGAAAAAATTCTTTTATTTTATTTTACTTATTTTTTTTATTTTTGAGACAGGTCCGCCCAGTAACCCTCGCTGGCCTGGAACTCACTACGTAGACCAGGCTGGCCTCGAACTTACGGAGATATGCCTGCCTTTGCCTCTGGAATGCTGGTATTAAAGGCATGTGCCACCATTACCAGCTTGTTTAATTATCTTAAAAAATCAACAGCGGTCATAGTACCTAACAGTAGGAACGTCTCTGCATATATGTATGTAATATGACTCTTGGTGTGCACTTTCTTGAATAAATCCCCCCACACACTGTTTAAGTTTAATAAAAGATGTTATTAAATCAATGAAAAATTCCGTCTTTTTTATGTGGGTGTCTTAATGCATTTTAATGGCACAAAGACCTTCAAATGATCTACCAGGCATCTACATTTAGATAAAATGCTAGACAGTGGTGATCTGCATTAAAATAAAATGAAGTGTCAGAGTTTAACCCCAATTTTTTCTTAACAGTTTATCAGATATCTGGAAATGAATTAGAGTCACCCTTTTACCAAGCTCCTTTCCAATACATGGTGGACTTAATGTGGACTTATTTATCTTAAAATAAATCCCATACATAATGACGAGGGAGCCACTATCATCAATGATATCCCCCACCATGGATTAAAACAGTGGCCCTTAGGGTTGAACCTGTAACAGATTCACACAGAGGGTTGTGGAACTTACATATTATTATGTCCTACCCTGAAATATTCTGATTCAATAGTTTTAAGGTAAGTAAGCCTCAAAAAATTACATGTGTAATGAGTCCTGGCTGACATAAATCATGAGAAAAAAACACACTACAATTCCAATGTGATATTTAGACAAAATTTCTGAGATGTGGTGTGGTGAGTAGCTATATCCTTTTACTACAGGTAAGATAAATAATTGCTTGTGTTGTTTTCATTATGTGGGTTCACTCATCAAATGACTCATGCAGATTCAGTCATTAGCACCATGAACATTTAGAAAAGGCACTGTTCACAAAGTATACCATCAGAATGCATTTCCTTATGGCTCATCTCCACCCCAATTATCAAGAAATCATCTCTTCAGATCTCTTCTTCACATGCACTCACATGCTTAGCCAATCAATTCCCTAACAGTTGAACCTGGGACTAGAATGTTCCTGGAGAGAAGATTAGATAAGCAGCTGAGATGGTACAACTGCTCACAGGGAAATTCTTAAAATTCCCTTCGCTTTCTACAGGAAAATCGAACACAGTTACCATGTAAACGGGTCAGCTCTGTTTGCCTCTTAAAAATTGTACATTCATGCTATTCAAAAGAGTCATCTGTATTTAACATCTTATCCATTTTGTATGTTATGTTATTTTTAAAGAAACTATAAATCCAGAGATTCTCCATCTCTTAAATGTCAAGGCAAATGTACTATGAGTGTAACTATAGTATATATAACTTCTTTCTTGTCTAATTTGGTTAGAATGCCTCCTTATTTGAGTAACAATAGTTTTACACTTATCAAAGTATCATGTCATCAATAAATAACAAAATTCCTAATAAAAACAACAGTAATTGTCATAAATAAAATTTCCTTGAACATTTTTAACAGTATTTTTGTGAATTTACATCAATAATCTGAGGCATGTCATGAGAAAGTATACTTTTGACTGAACTTTAGAAAGAACCAACTCCCTCAAAGTATGTGAAAACAACTTATAACTTTGATTTGGACTTTTTAATTCCAGAGACCTTTCTCTTAATAACTCCTTCTCTGCTTAAATATGAGTTGCATTTTTGAGTTGTGCTATGGTGCAGTTCCACTCCAACTAATTGCAGCTATGACTACTTATAAAACATAACTAGTACAATTCCTCAAACTTTAAACACAAAGTCAACATACGTTCCATATTACATTTTCATAATTTTAATACTTTTTATTGATTTTTTGAGAATTTTATACAATGTATTTTGATAATATTCAGATTCCCTGCCCCATATGGTCTATTGAATAAATGGAGCCCTAGAAGGTAAGAAAAACATAGTAGATTCTTGGCATAATGCAAAATGCAAAAATACTAAAATGTGAAATCATGGGTCTCACAATTGTACAAGTCATAAGTGACAAGATAATAGTGACCCTATCACAAGGTGATCATTTCTTCTGCTTAATGAATTGTTAAAGCATCAATGGAATTTTAATGTTCAAAAAGTCATAATTGAGCAGGATGTGATAATGCATGCCTTTAATCTCAGCACTCCAGAAGGAAAGGCATGGGAATTCCTGTTAGACTGTAGTCTGCCTGGTCTACATAGTGAGTTCCAGGCCAGCTTGAGCTACAGGGAAAACCTGTCTCAAAAAAAAACTTTAAAAAAAATCTCATAATACGACTTTGGCTGCCATGTGCCATACATATATTTGTAAAAATCACATTGTACACATTTGAAATATAACTATAAGCCATATGCTTTATTCTATACACTCTTGTCCAATGTTTCACACTGAAGTATGAAATACCATGCAACAGTAAATGGGAGTTAAGATAATTTTTTGACATCCTAGGAAGAGGCAGAGCACTGAGTAAGTGTAGCTTTGCAAAGGAAACAAGCACATTCAACAGACAATTCCAAGTGTCTGTGTCTATCCAAACAGTTCTCTGCACAGTGGTAATTCTTCTAATCCCTATAATTTATTCATCTCCCGCTACTCTCCAAAGTATTGTTTGCATATGTTATCCACTAGATTTAAGAACAGTATTCATTATTTGGGGGAGCAGATGCAACTCCTCAGAAAGGTTTGTTACCGCGAGGTTTGTGCTGAGAAGCACTCTGTCTGGCGAGCATTTGTAGCCTGAGGGGTAAAAAGAGAAGTGTGGTGAGGATTCAGAGTTTAAGACTTACCTCCAAGATCCTCCCAAGAGCCACACTGCAATCACTGTAACAACTCCAAATCTCATTCTAGATGCCCGTAAATACTCAAATTGGAAAGAAACCTGTAATTGCCCAGTGGAAATTTCAAATACACTTAACTTTGCTATTCCAAGACACAGACACCAAATGGACACTAAGGTAATGCTCTTAATTTTCATCAACTTATCACAGTTGAGGTTTTAAAGTGATGGATTTTGCTCCGTAGGTTTGGCACAAACCATCCATGACAATTTAGAAAGCTGAGAAAGAGTTCTTGGGCCAAAGTATCAGACCACAAAAAGGATATCATTGAAATATTCGAAGCAACAGGAGCCCTCCACCATGGCCAGGAATACTGATGCTACTTTTATATTGCAGGTCATTCAAACAGTAAGTGCCATGGACAAAGATGATCCCAAAAATGGACATTATTTCCTGTACAGTCTTCTTCCAGAAATGGTCAACAACCCAAATTTCACCATCAAGAAAAATGAAGGTAAATATATTATCTTCATAAAACTGTGTAAGGTAGAAATTGAAGTTTCCAAACATAACTGGAAAATATGATTAAAACAGCTTTTGTTCACCCACCCGTAGCTGAAATCCAGTTTATCAGTCTTATGGCAAGATAATTATGTCACTTCCTCCTTACAATGTTGAAACAATATATAAGAAATTCGTTAATGTAAAATTTTGATGTGATCCCGGACGTACTTCGATCACCTTACTTTACAAAAAGAGAAGTACCGTTGAACCTCCTTGAAAGCCTCCAGAAATGCGGAGATAGTGAGATATCTGTCAAAGAAGACACTGGCTCACACTTTGCAGTTGTTAAGTTTTAATTGAATGTTTACCAAGTCTTTGGGGGAAAGTCTATTCTAATTTTGTCTGCTTTGTGTGTACACATTAGAGGTATTTGTTTTAAGCCTGTACTGACTTTAATAATAGCAATTAGATCACAAAATCCTTCTTGAAGGACGTTTCTTATCAGTATTATATGGGAGATAATATAAACTGATTTTATTTCTATGTCTCTGACCCACAGAGAATATTGAATCCATTTCACCATTTCTTCTGAGTCTACTTTAAATCCCTCTAAAGGTCCCTTTAACTTATATGTGAAGGCTGCAGCTCATTTTCAAAAGTCTATTCCATGTGTACATTAATGTTTCCTAAAGTTCCCTATGTAAAACAAGGAATTTTACCTTTGTTTTGGCTCTAATATTTTTGTCTTTGTCTTAATTGTCTTAAAATACTTAAAGTAGGCCAGGCGTGGTGGCACACGCCTTTAATCCCAGCACTTGGGAGGCAGAGGCAGGTGGATCTCTGTGACTTCTGGGCCACCCTGGTCTACATAGTGAGTTCCAGGACAGCTGGGGTTACAGGGAGACCCTGTCTCAAAAAGACCAAAAAAAAATACTTAAAGTAATTAAAATATTATAAATATTCTCTCAGGCTGATTTCTGCATTTCCTATAGGCACCTGTCTATTTCCTAAATGGTTCATATATAAGGTTTACTCAAATAGGGGTATAAATTTTGGTTCATGATAGCTATTTGAAATACTTGATATACCTGTTTAATGGAGGCTAATGAATTTTGAGAAAATTCATCTATGAAATAAAATACCATTTTATGGCTGATATTAAATATATTATGGGCTTACCTTTCATCACAATGCTACTTAGCACTTTGGAGACACTTGGAAAAACGTTGATAGAGCACAGAAAAAGGAAGTGGGGTCGTTTACAGACCTTACACACTTAGCTGCTTTGCACAATTATAAACATGAAAATGAAAACTCCTATTCTCTATTCTTAAAAATGGAGTGCTCACTAGTCAGTTACCCTGAATCAGAAGCTCTGATCCAAGAGCTTTAGTAAAACACCCAGAATTTATCTTTTATGAAACTCTCATTCATATATCTAAGGTAAGACCACTCTCACCATGAATTTGGTCCCTGATTATTTTGACTGTGAACTAATTGGCATCTGGATTATTTTGTGTATAAGATATCCCACATATAAAACTCTACCTAGGAATGCGTACTCATTCTACATGTCTAGAGTATGATTTTTTTACCCGTCTCTTCCATAACATCAAGTTTTGACATCTATATCTGTGGCCTCGAGCATACACATATGGATGTGTTGGATTCATGAGAAGTTGCAATACTGAATTCTAGAGGAAGAGTAATTTTGGTCTCTATTTAAAATAGTCTAATCCTTTGGAAGAGAAAAAATTAATCTAATAGTGAAAGAATTTCATGTCTTTTCCTAATTTTTGAAATTAGCTGAAAATAAAAATTTTAAACACAGGGAACCTCTTTCTGGTATACCATGAATTTCAATAAAATTACAATGGGATAGTTATAGTTAGGTGGATCATCTGTTGTATTTTTCAACCAGAAAATGAAAGCTCCAATTTTGATCTATCGCATATATCTAAAAAGGAGTTCAGGTATTAGAAGAAAATGACTCAGGTTTAAAAAGACATTCTATACATCATGATTGTTCATTTATACTACATATTCATTTATTTTGCAAAAAAAGTGGCCAGAAAATTTATTATTCCCAGAAGGACAGGAGTTTCTGTTCATATTTATGTCTGGGAAACATCATAAACTAGGACTGCTTGCATAAAGTGGACATACATTCTCTGTGATTTGGGATTTAGGATCCAAGTATTGAACATTTCCTTATAGAATAAATCATGAACCTGAAGGCCTGTGGAATAGATATGCAAGGTTTATACACTATTTGCCTTTGCTTAGATTAGAAATTCATGAGCTTTGCTTCATAGACTACTCCTACTTTGGTGTCTGGAGGGTTGATGGGAAAAATGGACAAAAATAATTTGTGCCTTAAAAACATAGAGAACAATTATAATGGTACAAAGAGTTCAACAAATTTGCAATGTTTGTATAAATAGATAGATGTATAAATGGTTGATAGGTGCAGATGGAGAGAAGTTGTACCGATAGGTAGTTAGACTCTTGTGAGCTTTGTCATTGTTAATGAGGGGAGAATATAAAAACATCTTAAAAAGCCATAATATTGGACATTTATTATGATATCATTTAGGTTGGAAACATGACAAGGTACAAACAACGTGCTATAATTCTTAATCATTTATTTTCCTTTTAAGATGGTCTTTTAAATGATATTGAGTTGACATTTCTCAGTCAGATCATTATGATCCTCAAATTCAAGCCTATGAAAAAAAGTTAAGATTTTGAGTTCCCTTGATGGATGGATTACTCTCCCACTTAATTTGATCTTCAGGGAGACAGTTTAAATGTTTGGCATTTTCTAAGGAACTTGCAGCTATGGCTTTCAACTCAAAATTATTGTGATCTTTCTTTCTGAATAGATTTGGTCCTCATGCAATTTTTACTCCACTAATTCATAATCAAAGACAAAAATGAGACAGAAATGAGCTGTCTTGTATCCTACATAGTTGAATGATTTCACAAATAATTCTCCTTCCAAGTATATGGGATCATATTTCTACTATAATAAGAAGGCAGCTTTTGATGTGGAGAAAGGTAAAATGAAAGGTCATAAATATGAAAATCCAGTTTTATTATACATACCAAAAACTCAGCACATTGAATTTTTTAATTATGCAGCCCAGACACTGGTTTCTTCAACTTCCAGTTGGGTGAATTTATAAACAAAGAGTTTTGGTGACCACATTTCAGTATTGGCTTCTGTTCTAACTGTGAAAATGTAATGTACCCAACAATTCAATACGAGAAGACAAGGAAGACAAATGGACCTTTTACAGATACTGAAATATCTTGCTTACAGGAAATCTGAGGTCTACAGAAGCCTGCTCTTCTCTAGCCTGCACATTGTTTATTATACATCTTGGAATTGCCGAAGTGCTGTCTTGGGAAATGGGAGCCTTCATGACTTATCCTGAAGTACTGAATTGATGTATCTAGGGAATGGAGAGACAACATACAGCTCTTTTCTTTAAGGAGAGCCTATGAAAGAAAAACAAACAATGTACTTGGACTTAGTTGTAACTTGGTTATACTTAGGAAAACCCAGGAGGAGAACCATAATATCAGATGAAATTGATTTTTTTTCTCTTGATATCCTCTAGTTAGCCTTAATCCTGTTGATAAGAAGTTCTCTTGTGGGCAATAGGTGAATCTTAATGATAAAGTTCTTCCCTAACATTCATGAGGCCATAGTTTCAAACCCTAATGCTATAAAAAGAGAAAAGAATAATAAATAAATAAATAAATAAATAAATAAATAAATAAATAAATAAATAAGAAATAAATAAGAATCTCATCCTGAAAGCATAATTTTGGTAATAGAAATAACATGGATACTGAGTAGGGGTTTTAAAGAAACACACCTCCTGTTAGCTCAATGTCCATTGTACATTTACTTGTTCAGATATAATTTATGCTTTATCTTAAGCATTCTCTATTCTGATGTTCTATTTCAAGCATGTATGTTGTACTGCATTTTACCCCATCAATATATTCATTGCTTTATTCTTTTAAAAATGTTTTTATTGAGTTTTGTGCATTTTATGCATCTTAGTCATATTTAAACTCCCCTTCCCACATTTGAATCCCCGCACCGTAGCTCCCTCACCAGACTTCATGCATTCTGTTAAACTTCTTAAGGACCATCAAGTCAAGTTTGTGTGCCTAGGTGTGCCTTGGTGTGAGTACATCAACTGGATAAATCATTATAAGCATCAGCATTCTCATCTGTAATTTCACGATAACAATACCTAACCATCTCATCTGTGCTGTGATGAATATGTCTAAACTAAAATGGAGACATCACTTAGTACACTGAAAATCACTCATCAATAAACAGATCTGCTCTTTTCCTATGTGAATCTTAAATTTTAACTTCTCATGTTTGATTATATCAATGTTGGCATATCATTCCTAACCAGGTCTCTTTGAAGCTGTTGCTCTATAGGTACATACATATCAGTAATTTTTAAATGGACATGATCAGTTAGGACACAGAGCCTCACTGAAAGACATTCCAGTCACTCTGTTTATACAATATTGTATTATAACATAATCTTCAATGTATTATATTAGAAACACAAAATAATTATAGAAGAAGGGGGAAAAGGAGGACGGGAAAGGATGATGAAAATATTTGCCACTCAGGAAAATAGTTACAGGACTCCCAGAATTGGTTGTGAGTATGAAAACCTTTTGTATATTTCATTTGCCAAAAAGAAACTCAGCTTTCTGCACATCATGATTAGTCCATTTCCAATGTGCTGGGATTGCTTTCAATTTTAATATATCAAGCTGCGGTAACTCTATTGGAAACGTTTTGCATAGACTTTACAACCAGTCTTTGTTGTTTTGACTATGATCAGCTAACTTCAGTAATTTATTTTCCCTAAAGCAAAATTAGCTGCCTGAAATTGGAAGTGGATTTTCCTGTTCGCAAGCCAGTCAGGACTGAACCTCTTTTCTCCCATGAAATCACCAAGAACC